CTCCTGTCCTTCCTTCAAGGGGTGCAGGTTAACATGCACAGTTCCCCCTCCTCCATTTTGCATAATAACTCCATGAGGCAGTTGAGGATGAAAGATTGTCTAGCCCAGGATCAGTTATCCAATCAATTTCATAGCTGAGTAGGGATTTTAACACAAGTCTCCCTTTATTTATATTTATATTTAAATTTATACCCCGCCCTACCCCGAAGGCTCAGGGCGGCTTACAGGGCACAAGTGCCAGGTTAAAACAATATCATCTGATTTAAAAACAATAAATTACAATAAAATAAGCAATTTACAACAAATAACAGCACATTTCAAACAAGAAAAGAGAGATCTTATCTGACATAGCTACCCTAGATCTTATCCTAGAGTGGTGTTTGGTACTACGTTCCACCCTTAGGGGCCAGGCAATCCGATGTTAGTTCGGTGTTAATTCGGTGTTAATTCGCTTGGGGCTGAGCAGTGGCGGCGGCTCCTATCCAAAGGCCTGGCGGAAGAGCTCCGTCCTGCAGGCCCTGCGGAACTGAGAAAGGTCCCGCAGGGCCCGGATCTCCTCCGGGAGCTCCTTCCACCAGGTAGGAGCCGCCACCAAGAACGCCCCAGCCCTAGTCACAGCAAGTTTAGCTTCTTTCGGGCCTGGAATCTCCAGGAGATGTTGCCCTCCCGACCGAAGTGCCCTTGGAGAAAGGCGGTCCCTCAGGTAGGCTGGACCCTGGCCATTTAGGGCTTTAAAGGTCAAAACCAGCACTTTGAAGCGAATCCGGTATGCTATCGGCAGCCAGTGCAGCACTTTCAGCACAGGCTGAATGTGGTCCCTCCTCGAGAGACCCATCAACAGCCTGGCTGCAGCATTCTGCACTAGCTGCAGCCTCCGAATTCGCGACAAAGGCAGCCCCATGTAAAGAGCGTTACAGTAGTCTAGCCTTGAGGTAACCGTCGCATGGATCACTGTGGCCAGGTCCTCACGGCTGAGATAGGGGACCAACTGCCGAGCCAGCCGAAGATGGTAGAAGGCCGCCCTGGCAGTGGTTGCAACCTGGGCCTCCATTGTTAATGAAGAGTCCAGGCGCACCCCCAAACTCCTAACCTCCGACGATGGCACCAAAGGCGCCCCATCGAAGGTCGGGAGAGGGAGCCCCAATCCCACGCCGGTCCGACTCAGGCCCAGGACCTCCGTCTTTTCCGGGTTTAGTTTCAACCGGCTCAGCCTGAGCCAACCAGCCACAGCCTGTAGCGCCCGATGTAGGTCATCAGGAGAAGAGCCCGACTGGCCACCCAACATCAGATAGAGCTGGGTGTCATCAGCATACTGGTGACAACCCAGCCCACACCTCCGAGCAATCTGGGCAAGGGGGCGCATGTAGATGTTAAACAACATCGGGGACAACACAGCCCCCTGAGGCACCCCACACTCCAGGGGGTGCCTCCGGGACCGCTGATCCCCTATCGCCACCCTTTGTCCCCGACCCTGGAGAAAAGAGGAAAACCATTGCAAGGCTAGCCCCTGTATCCCCACGTTGGCGAGGCGGTGGGTCAGCAACTGGTGGTCGACCGTATCGAATGCGGCCGATAGGTCTAACAACACCAGAGCCGCCACACCACCTCGATCCAGATGCCTATGGAGATCGTCAGTCAAGGCGACCAGCACAGTCTCCGTCCCGTGACCAGGGCGAAAGCCGAACTGGTAGGGATCGAGGATGGAAGCATCCTCCAGAAAACTCTGAAGCTGTAACGCCACCGCCTTCTCAATGAGCTTGCCCAAATAGGGCAAGTTAGACCACTACACTCCACTCGCTTTCCTCTTCTCCCCATCTACCACTTCTCAACTCCACTCCCTGTGGAAATGGGTTTTCCTTTTAAAAAAAAAACAGTTACTGGGCTTCAGTTACATTTAGGGTGGTCAATGGGCCTGGAGAAAAATGTCCTTCTGTTTAATAGAGGCTTAATGTGTAGAAATGGGCTGCTGAAGCTTTTCATGGCAGGGAGTAAATAATATCCCATTAAGCTCCCATCAAGGGGATAGGTCATTCTTTCTCTAGGCAGTTGGCAACCTTGGTTACCTGTATTAGGCTGCCATCCTGAGAAACACTTTCCTGGGAGTAAGACCCATTGAATTAAATGGGACTTGCTTCTAAATAGACCTGCTTAGATTTGCTTGCAGTGTGTAAAGTACAGCTTCAGCTGGTGAGGAAGAGACCTGTGTGCATCTTAGAATTAACCCACCAGCCAGCCACTATTGTCCTCTGCCTCACTTCATGCTGAACTAGTTCTAGAATATGGGCAAATTCCAGAATATTGAACAAAAGTGCTTTTGTATTTTTTTCTTAGAAAATGTGGAATTCTGTTGATAATGTATGTAGTTTAAAGTTGTTGTTTTTTCTCCTGTTGGATTTTTCTTATAAACTCTCAGATCTCAGAGGCTGTGAATTTCAGATCTGCAACAGACAAAAAGGTCGACCTTTTAAAATAAAGTTGTCATTGCTGTGCTTATCTCATATTCCCCAATACACTTGGTTTGAGACTTTTCTTTTGGTTTATCTACAGTGCATCGGACTATTAACACCAAGGCCTTTAAAATGGTTGCTAAGTAAAACAAGGGTAAATACATTCTGTATTTTAAAAGGAGAGTCCAAGTGAGCCTAGGGTTGCCAAAAGGCCTGGAGGAAAATATCCTATCACTTGAATAGAGGCTTAATGGGTCAAAGTAGGCAGCTGAAGCTTTTCATGGCATGGAGGTTAATATCACCTGGTAAATATTTATTTCATTCAGTTCTTGCTGAGACTCAAGGCAGATTACAGAATTTAAAAAATTCAATCAGAAGGGGACTAGAATGAGAGAATTTCAAAACAGTGCAGATAAATAAAAAAGAAAAACTTGCCTAAGGCATGACATCTTATAATGTGAAAAGTAGAAGATGCCAGAAGATAGAATGCACTGCAGTAAAAGCAAGCTGATACACACAATGAACATTGCGATAGGCAACGATCCTATTCCCTTATAAAAGAGCCTTCCTGGACAGTTGCCTTATACTGCAATTCTAACCTCTTTATAAAAGTGCCTTCTTTGAAATTATAGAAGAACTTGGGAAAAGGCTGGTTATGGAAATAAATACAACAGCCTCTAGAAAGAGGCTCTGGGCAGGGGCCCTGCCCTTTGACACTCAGTGTCAATTTGCTATGGCAACCTCAGCAGGGTATAATGACACTGAGTCCACCATTTTCTCCAGAGGAACTGATCTCTGCTACCTAAAGAACAGTTGTAATTCTGAGTGATCTCCAGCCCTCACCAGGAGATTGGACACATTTTACCTCAGAACAGCAAACTGTTAGAATGCTAGAGGTAAAAGCCAATCAAGTTGCATATGCAAACGACCTCTGTGTGCCGAGGCAAAGGCCAATGAGGCTGCTTATGCAAATAACCTCTGGGTTCTGACTGGCTATGGCAGGGGAGGGACAGCAAACTGTTTAGAATGTTGGAGGCGAGACTCAAGCAATGCAGCCAGTCAATAGGGACAGATTCTGAGTGACACACCAGGGCGCCAACCAATTCTGGAGTGTGTGGAATGTTCTAGAGAAGTGCCACCACTATTCGGCTTTTATATATAAGGGAGATGGGGGGCCTTCCTGAACTCCTCAGGCAGGCCGTTCCAAAAGGTGGCCACTACCACAGAGAACATACAAATGGGCACTTGCCAATCTCACCTATTTACTGGGTGCTACCTTCTGAAGGCTTTGCTCATCTGAGCAAAGCTGTTGCGGTAGAACGTAGCGGGAGGCAGTTCATGAAAGGCTTTGTAAGTGATAATTAGAATCTTTAAGCTTTTGGCAAACTAATCTTTCCCACACACCTTAATATTCAGCCCAATACAGTGGCCTCACTTGGCTGTTTCTGATTGAGGTGGCATGTTGTGCATTGCTGCTGGTGGTGCTCACCATTGACATTCCTTCCATTCTGCAGCACGCTGAGAGTAGAGGTGCCTATAGGGAGACAAGAGAGCCACATGGGCAGGAATGTGTAACAGCAACTGAAACATAGAATGGATGTCTAAGAAGGAAAGAGCATTGCCACCTATTTCCCGTTCATATGCTTCACATTCCCCCTCTCTCTGATTGTACTTATAAAGTACATCACACTGGATGTGGCTTTCTCCCCAGTATTATCACTGGTGCATGGTGGGAGCTTTCCTGCAGGTTTCCAACAGAGCTCTCAATTCTGAACAGTGCATATTTATTACTTTTTTAAAATTGTAAAAAGGTAAAGGTTCCCTTGCTCGAAAGCCAGTAGAGTCCGACTCTAGGGTTGCGGTGCTCATCTCCGTTTCAAAGCCGAAGAGCCAGCGCTGTTCGAAGACATTTCCGTGGTCATGTGGCCGGCATGACTAAACACCAAGGCTCACAGAATGCTGTTACCTTCCCACTGAAGTGGTACCTATTTATCTACTTGCAATTTCTTGCTTTCGAACTGCTAGGTTGGCAGGAGCTGGAACTAGAGATGGGAGCTCACTCCATCATGCGGCACACTTGGGTCTTGAACTGCTGAATTACTGACCGTCCACAGCCTGCAGTTCAGCGTCTTAACCACTTGAGCCACCGCAACTCCTGTTTAAAATTGTAGCCAAATGCTAAAAAAAATCTGATAATGTAAAATAAAAAGAATAAAATCAATAGCATCTATATACTAATAGCGAAGGCGCCCCCTTGCGTGCGGATACTTATTCCCGCAAATCTGGGGCACGCAGGGGGCAAGGAGATCTTTCAACACATTCAGAGCATGCTCCAGTTGTGCAGAAAAATCTGACATGTTTAAAAAAGTATACAGGGGATATTTAAATCCCCCCCAAAAGTTAATGACAGATCCCCAGTAGAACACTCGGGAGCCCAAGGGAAATGACATGGCTGCACATGACCCGCAAAGAACGCTGGCGGCGAC